AGATAGGAACCATTTGGTCTTGGGTGGCTAGCCACACCCTTTGACATTCCTACTGCAGTCTTTCCTGCTCCCTTCTTTCTCTGCGGTCAAGGAGTCCACTTTGGCAGTAAGTTCATTGATTACAGACTCGGACTCTTGCAGCTTGACTTCGAAGGAGGAGACTCACAGCTCATATTCCTCGACCTTCTTTATCATCGCAGCTTCATCCGCCTTAGTCTTTTCCAGCTCGGCATGAACGACGTCTCGCTGGCGGATGAGCTCGGCAATGTATTTGGTCTGGTCACCGAGGGTCCTCTCAACCTTAAGGATGTGCTCCTCTTTGGCAGCCATGAGCGCTTGGCATTCTTTGCCTCTTGTTTATATTCTCAAAAATATTCAATGATGGCCCTCACCTACTGGCTAGCCTGAAAAGAGAAAACACTATTAGAAAATGACCAAAATTGTATAAGAAATACTTAGGAAAGCGTTATATTTATGACCAAGTTGCTCTGTATAGTGCTCATTAGAAGTCAATTGTCTGAATAGCCTTTGTACACAGTCATATTAGCTTCAAATTGAAAAGTCCCCGCAATAACAAAAGCCATTTTGGGGGACTGCAAGATAGAGTCAGCTTCCAAGATAGGGCGGCCGCTCTTGGTATCGGCTCGAGGGACCCATTCGCCCGAGACAGACGGGCTCAGGGTGTCATGTCGCCGCTTCACACGGCGTTCTTCAGATTGTTCAACCTCCCAGGCACATCGATCCCTTGATCGGTCTCCCGGAGCGGAGACTTGTTGAGGTAGGGGCCTTTACCTGGTCGGCACGGCCGGGTCCCTAGATAGTTGGGGACGTGGCGACGGTAGGGGTGGTTGACACTGAGGAGAACTTGGTGGTGGAATTATTGGGGCAGTGTTGGAAGGCCAGGCCAACCCCGCGAGCCTGGCTCTTCTTGCCGCAGCGACGACCTTCATTGTAGCAACGGTGACTGGTGGTGGATTAAACATTTCTTTAGGCGCTAGGGGCTCGGAAGCAGGATGATCAAACTCTTCTTTGAAATCTCCCTCGGATTCGTCCTCTGCCGACGAGGAATACTCTTCCCAAAGAGAAAGGTTGAAGGGAGGAGGGATCTAAGAAAATTGACTGTAAGTCAGCTTGTAGCCGAGTAGAATATGAGCCGCTTGCTCAACTAGGTCTAAGGACCAAACCCTTAGTAGGTCAGCAAACCGGACTTGGGACCTCAAGGGTTGAGCAGCGTCTCAGCGATATCCTTTTGCAAAAGCAAAGCAAAATCAGTGCATCCCTTGGGTCTAAATATAGCAAAATCAATACAAGTCTCAGGAAGAAGACACATCTTTATCCCTCGGCACTTTGGGGCAGTACAATCTATCATACTCGGGCCTTGGCCCTTTGAGCATGATCAGATCGTCTACATACCCCTTGTCCGAGTTGGGCATGTGGGTTACCAGATACATTGAGGTGTTTCAAGCCTGGAGGTAGTATCTCCCCTCGGCGACTAACCTCAGGTCATAGCAGAATAAAATTTCATCTACTTCTAAGTTAATCCCAAGTCGAGCATTTAGGGCAACTACGTCCATCATAATCCTAAAGAAGTTAATCCCACATTAAAGGGGGAAGAACTTCAATTGTATCAACACTCCCAACAACAGGGGATGGAGAGGAAAGGTCAACCTTCCTTCCATGATGGCCTTCGTCCAGAAAGGCATCATGTCCATACTTCTCATATCCCTCCTATGGTGAGTGGGGTTAAAGGAGAAGGCAAAGAGGGGCTCATGGATGTGGTACCTAACCCTGAAAGCTTGGATGTTCTCATCAGTCACTTGGATTCTCCTCATCTTATGGGTAGCCCTAGCCCTAACAGATGTCTCCGCTCTAGTTCTACTAGTCCTGGCCATTGGTGGGCACTAAAAGGAAGAAATGTAGAGGAAATGAAGAAAGAAAAAGCTCAAGTAGAAGTACTTACAGGAAGGTGGTCTTCGAAAATAGAGCTCAGAGGACAAAGAAAACTCGGAGGAGAATAAATGAGCGTTCGGGGTCTGATTGCTGAAGAGAGGCTCAGGATGCAAAAGTCCTGAGAAGGCATGAATTCCTTCTATTTATACTGCCTTACAGGGAGAGGAAATTGAAAAGTTGGGTCATCATTAGGGTATTTGAAAAGGGCGGCACCAAACGTGCAAGTAACCGTCGCTATTAATAAGGCGTGATAATTGAGTCTCCAATCTCTTTACGCCACTTGTCTTACACTGCGAAAAGGATGAAAGCTGGGGGGCAATTGGCGGGACTCTAGGTGGCTCTACAGCCCTCTGATTGACACGTGGAATAATGAAGCCGTTGGGATGTCCAAAAGGCGCCGAGGAGCTAAGCCGATGTATGGTAATCCGGATGAGCCGAGTACGACAGCTGGCATCATATTTAATATGATGTGATCCCTCATTTATGACAGAATGAGTGATGGTGACAAGGCAAATAAATGCGCGCCTACAAGCACCTGCACTCTGGGAGTCTAGCTCTACTATCATGATGGCTAAGCATTAATGGCTGATACGCTAAGATGATGTGATCGACTCTCCCCGAGGAACTGTTCCCCCAAAGTATTCAATGCTCAGGTGATGTCAGATGCCGATTTTAGGGATTTGGGTACTCGGGGAAGGGCATAAATACTCGGCATTTAGCCGAGCACTAATCCCATCGTCCTAGCATTTAATAGGAAGAGACATGAGTGGAAAACAATCATTGCGTGAGGAATCGTGAGACAATGAGTTAATGAAGAAAATAATGGAAAAAAGAGTGAGACAATGAGTTAATGAAGAAAATAGTATTTTTGTTATTAAAAATGTATAAAATATCAAGCATGGACCACACACTTCATATATTGTAATTATATGTTTTTAATGACTTAAAAGATTTTTGTTTGTTCTTATTGTTAAAATAGATTAAACATATTAATGAAATAATAGACTATAATTCTATCAAAATATTTATGCTCAAAAATCATACTGCCAGTTAAAAAAATATGTTAGCATAATTTGAATAAAAAATTTTAATTAGTAATTTTGCATTTTAAAAAATAAAATAATAAACTTTAAATTAAAATTTTAAAATATTAATAAAAAAATTACACTTTATTATTTTAGGCCTCGTGTTCTTGAGCCGCCCTGATCTCCGACAGGAGTGAAAGCAGAGAAGTCCTTTGGGCGGCGTTTATTGAGAGACGAATAGTGGAGGGGGAGTGGGTTTATCAAGGAAGATGATGCCTGAGCTGTCCCGACTATACACTGTCGTGAAAGAGTATAAAATATTCTATGCAACCATTGTTCCTGCGACAATATTAACATGACGGCGCCATTTAATAATATTTTTAACAAATAAATAAATAAACTCCATATAAATTAGTAACTATTTTTCTATGTAATAAAATAACTAATAACTCTTCTTCATTCCAAGGAAGATAATAATTATCTACAATATAAAATAGGATAAATTTTATTAAATTCATCTGACGATCTCAAATAGATTCATTTAACAGTCATCATCATCCTTTTTAAACCCATTCAAATTATATCATACCTTCAGTCACAAGTTACCCTTATTATGTGGAGTAATGCTATTGAGACCTAATTTAATGACCTAATTTGTTGACCTAATTCACTATGACATTTGGATTGACTCTAGGCCCATCAAACATTGAAATTTGGTGTTGATACAATGGTTCTACTAAAATCACATCATTATGTCAACAAATTAGGTCAGATTTTTAGGTCAAAATAATATTACTCTATTATGTGTGTGTGTGTGTATATATATATATAAATATATATATAATAAAGTAACTTACAATTCAAATCTCAAAAGATAAAAAAAATAATTTTTGCTATTCGCGGTTGAAATCGCTTTAAATTTTACTTTAAAGTTAATCTAAAGGCTAATATTAACACCCCAAATTTAAGAGAAAAAATAGGCTCATAAGAGTGCATTTGGAGTAACTTTTTAAAAATACTTTTAGAAATTATTTTCTATCAATACTTTAAAAAAAAATTAATATTTGAAACCGCTCAATCACTACCACTACCACCGCCACCGCCACCGCCACCATTACCACTACCACCATCACCACCACTGCCACTACTACCACCACCACCATTGTCACCGCCTTCACCGCCACTATAATCATCACCACTACCACCACCGCTGTCACCGTTGCCACCCCTACCATCTCCGCTACCCCCCGCCATCACTGCTACCTTTACCACCCCCACTGCCTCCACCACTGCCACACCCATGCCCACTGTCACCACCATTGCCTCCACCACCACTACCGCCGACACCATGGTCATTGTCACTCATCATAACAATCACTGTCTCTTATCACCATTACTGTCGTCCACCACCTCTCACTCTCGCTACAAACCGATACTTAAATTTTTTATCTTTTCTCTATATTTGTGATTTAATTTTAAATATAAATATAAATATGTTTATTGTTTACCATTTTTAGTACTTTGTGTCTTTAGGCGCAATAACTAGTATATATATATATATATATATATGAAAAGAACAAGTTGATCTTATCCAATTCATATTTTTGTTATTAAATAATAATATTATGTTGACAAATGCGGACATAATATTACCCTTACGGTGAATATTTAATTTAACATTATAGACTATCTTGTGTAATATTACTCCATAATACATTACATGTTTGCATGGGATCCACTGTTATCCTACATGTCGGTCTCTCACTTGCTGTTCGTAAACTCATTGTTTTAGGGCTAAACTAGAAACAATTTAATCTAGCAGACCACTACCTGCTCCGTTGCCTTATGCTATTACATAGAAAGCGACAGCGACCCATGACCTTACGTACTTTTTCTGAGGACTTTTTGACACAAATGAGTTGTATCCAAATTTTAGAGACATATTGTCCTTTGCAGTCGAGCAAATTTGACAAACAAATAAACAATCAACAAGCCAGCAAGGTGCTAGGAAGAAAAGCTAGCTAGATGGCAGCAACCGTCGCCTCCGCCGCCGCAGACTCCTTATTACGCAAAATAACGTTGGCCATTGAGAATGAGGCTTCACTGATCGGAGGGCTCCGTGATGAGCTTGATGCAATCAAGCGAAAGTTAAAGAGCATGAGATCTGTTCTAGAAGATGCTGATGAAATGGAAGTCCTCAGTCGAGTAGAAAAAGACTGGGTGGATAACGTTAGAGACATATCTGAAGAGGTTGAAGATGTGTTAGATGAGTTCACATATCATATGAACAAACAACAAAATGGGGGCAAATTCACGAGGCTTCTTTACCAGACAGTTCTCCTTCCGAAGAGTCTATTGGTGAGGCACCGAGTAGCCACAAAGTTTCAAGAGATCAATAGAAAGATAACAACCATTGATGAAACAAGAAGAAGCTTTGCTGTCGACGGAAGCGAAAGACAACACCGTGTTGATTATCAACAATTACGGCTAAATCGCGCAGAGTCTTCTCGTTTCATCGAGGAAGAAAAATTGGTAGGGATCGAGAATGATAAAGAGCTTCTAGTAACATGGCTGACCAATGAATCACTAGAACGAACCGTCATTTCAATGGCGGGAATGGGTGGTTTAGGCAAGACCACCCTAGTCTCCAAAGTCTACAATTCCCAAGTTGTAAGGCAGCATTTTCACTGCTATGCATGGATCACCATCTCCCAGAAATATGTTGTTGAGGATTTAATGAGAAGAATGATCGAAGAATTTCATAATTCTACACAAGAAGCAATTCCTACCAATTTAAACACGATGAGGTTCACAGAACTAGTCAGTGCGCTGAGAAACTACTTGCGGACGAAAAGGTACATAGTTGTCCTAGATGACGTATGGAGTAGTACGCTCTGGGACGATATCCGCGTATCTCTTCCAGATGATGGGTCGGGAAGTCGGGTAATGCTTACAACACGAGATATTAATATAGCTTCATTGAATTTCGGAGTCCAAAGCAAAATTCACCACCTAAGACCATTGGAGAAGGAAAATGCGTGGGATCTCTTTTGCATGAAAGCATTCTCCAACAAGCCGGAGAGATGTTGTCCTCAGGAGCTCGAAATCTCAGCTAAGAACCTCGTCCTCAAATGTGGAGGACTACCTCTGGCCATTGTGGCTTTAGGTGGTGTCATGTCATCAAAGGAACATGTATCAGAGTGGAAAAAGGTTAATGATAGCTTGGATTTCGAGCTGAGGAACAACCCTGACTTGCAATATATGCAAGCCATCTTGTTACTTAGCTTCTATGAATTGCCATACAAACTGAAGCTATGCTTCTTATATTGTTGTTTATTTCCAGAAGATTATGTGATCAAGCGAAAGAGACTCATTAGACTTTGGATGGCAGAAGGACTTGTTGAAAAAGCAAGCAGAATAACACCAGAAGAAGTAGCTGAGAGCTATCTTAAAGAACTCACTCAGAGAAACATGCTTCAAGTCGTGATGAGGAACCTCTTTGGAAGGCCAAGAGAATTTAAGCTACATGATCTTCTAAGAGAAATTGCTCTTTCAATGTTGGTGTCCGAGAAATTTGGTGCTCTTTATGATGATCAAAAAGCAAGTGAAGAGTGTGGAGCACGTCGTTTGTCGATCCAAACAATAAAAAAGCAAATAAAATCATTGAAGGGCGTGTCACAACTCCGTTCTCTTCTCGTGTTCACTGTTGATACGGTTTCTCCATCTATAGAAAAACTACCATCAGGGTTTAGATTGTTAAGGGTATTGGATTTACAGGGCGCGCCAGTTCTGAAATTGCCGAAGGAACTAGTGGATCTACTCCATTTAAGGTATTTGAACCTGAGGGGTACTAAGGTGGAGAAGCTTCCAAAATCAATTGGAAGGCTTCGCAACCTTCAAACACTTGACGTTCGCAATTCAAGAATAGAAATGCTTCCAGCTGGGATTGCACAGTTGCAAAATTTGCGGCATCTATTAATGTACCGTTCCATTGTTCACTATGATGCCGATTATAATATTTATTGTGGCCTACCAGCCCCATCAAATATTTGTGAGTTAGAGAATTTGCAGGTCCTGGATTGTGTTGAAGCGGAAGAGAATTTAATAAGACGCATTAGAAGCATGACGCAACTCACAAAGCTTGGCATTACATGGGTAAGAGAGGCTGATGAGGAAGACTTGTGCATCGCAATCCAAAATATGAATCTCCTTCATCACTTACTCGTGACTGTCATTGATGAAGAAAAATTCTTGCGAATGGATGCGCTACCTGAAGCTCCTCCAACCCTAAAATCCATGTTATTAGCAGGGAAATTAGAGAAGGTTCCCTATTGGTTTCCTTCACTTCAAAGCCTCACGTTATTGCATTTGCATTGGTCCAGATTGACACAAGATGTGCTTCCTTTCATTGAAGGCTTACCTAGACTGGGAAGGCTTGAACTTAATAATGCATATTCTGGAAGCCAGTTACACTTTGCTGCAGGGTTCAAAAGCCTAAAAATTCTATACTTGATCAATCTCCCTCACCTGAAGGAGATAATAATAGAGCATGGAGTGATGAAAGATCTCGGAGAACTTTTCATACACCGTTGTATGGAGTTAAAGACATTGCCTTGTGGCATTGAACATCTTGCTTGCCTCCAACATTTGCAATTTAGGATGGTTTCAAGTGAGCTTGTCCAACGGATACGTGGAGCACAGAGTGTGGATCGCTCAAAAGTTCAACATATACCATTTATCAAGCATTACTACCGATCACAGTCTGGGAGAGTTCAGATAGAAAACTTGTCCTAAATCTTTTGCAAGAAGGTAAGACACTACATTACACACACCTTAATTCTTAATACAAAAATATTTATGCTTCTTGTTTCATTATTTATGTCGTTTGATGTTTTGTGACAGACTACTTCGATTTCATTCCACAGCATTAACACTTTTTGTTGAAATTCCAGTACTTCAGTCGCAAGCACAAGCATCTCGAAATCGACAAGTGATTCACACATGGAGGTTGATATCAAATGTGACCCACTGATCAATACAAGGTGTTCAGGTATGTGACCTACTATGGAGAGAAATTGTGCACGAGTGTATCGGAAGGGATCCAGGTCCAAAGAGAATGAATAACTACCTACCAGTTGTTCCATGTACTTGTACTTGTGTTGCTTCATATGTGGATGGCTGGAACACGAAGAGATCAGTGTGTTCCCAGGACCTTTAGTATGTTGTTGTTATTGCTCTTGTAATATGGTGATTTGTGTGGTGTAATACTACGGTTGTCGTTATTGTAATGTAATCTATCTTCATAACCTAGCTTGGAGTTCATTAAAGTTGTATTAATCTCAAGGCTTGGGTACAATCTTGTGACAAGAAAACATTGTAAGGTGTCGATTATGGTGGATTGATTTAATGTTAAGTAATGTTATTTTTGACTTAAAAAATTAATTTAATTTGTTGATCTAATAATGTGTCAGTGATATGATCCAATAGTATTATTGTAACTGTAACTTTTAGACTTTTTCATTCAGACTCAATAACTTAACATATCATTATATCAGCAAAACACGTAAATCAATTTTTTAAATCTCAATAACATTAGTCATTAATGTTTATCCCATAATTGTTTCCTTCTACGATGAAAATTGTTCTATGTAAATCTTGGTGTGCTTGTTATTGTTTTTATTTATTAAATCATTTGTTGAGTTGTTTGTTTAGTGATAAAGGGTGAAAGGATGATATTAGTTGATATTAGTTGAATTTTTTATATTTATAGCAACTATTTTTCCCATCGTATATAATATTTCATAAAACATTAAAATGTTATTTTAGATTAAAAAATAATTTATAGTTTAAAGAAGAAAAATTCTAAAAAAAAATTGTATTGGCCACAACTATTTTTCATATTACAACTAATATTTTATAAAATTACGTAGTTTTACATCAAAAGACAATTTCTAATTCAAAAAAAAAAAATTTAAGCTCTAAAAATTCAAGTTTTTTTATCAAAACTAAGGGTGTCAAAATATAACACGATCCATTAATACGATATAAAATTAGTGGGTTTGAGTCATTCTTAAACCACCTGTTTAGTAAACGAATGAGTCTGATACGATATGATTATAAACGAATTAGGTATTAGTGAAACTAATTAGAAAAAATATATACGATATGAATTGTTTATATACAATTTATATAATTGAACAAGCCGTTCAAAAAAATATTGTGTGATCATTTATTAATGTATATTCTAACTTCTTTAGTTATTTATTGTATATATGTATATAAATATTATTTCAGTATAATAACAATAAATTTATATTTCTTTTCAGATATCAGTGAGAGAGTAAAAGGTTCGGAAAGGATGATCAAATTTTTGCATTAATTTTTTGTACTCACAGATCGTTATGTTTTATAAAAGTACATATTTTAAATTTTATTTAGCTCATGGGATTTTTTTTTATATGAAAATATTGCTATATATTTGAAAATTTTGATTATATTTACTTTTGTGCTTATCTATATATTAAATTGGGTAGTTGTACAAATACTAATGAATTTTTGGTCTAATAGTACTCCTTACATTATGAAAACTGTCTTCTTGAAGTCAAGGGTTCAAGCACCCTCACCCGTTCAAAAATAAAAAGTTGTACAAAGTGTATATGTGCACAGGATATATAACATTGGTTATCAACGGTTCATAATAATTTAAAAAATTTATTTTTTTTGTGACGACATTGTTGTTGTCATAAATATATCTTTTATTTTTTACGATAGCTAAATATGATATTTGAGGCAACATTTTTACCACCGTAATAAAATCAAAAGTGTCAGATTTTTTATGACAACTTATTTATAACCGGGTCTTGTTGTCGTAAATACTATTTGAGACAGACCGTTGTTATCGTAAAAATCTTTTGAGACCACACTTATTATGGCAAGGTAATGCTGCCTCAATACCGCCACAAAAAATATTTGTGATAACAAATATACCTTTTATGACAGCACGTTACCGTCGTAAAAATCATTTTTTCTTGTAATCGCGAAAGGCAATGATTGATTTCTCACTTATCCGTCAAAATTTTATTGTCTCACTTTTATTTATTTCCCTTCACTCCTTTGTGGATGCCTTCTCTTTGTTATAAAAACATTGATTGAAATTTTAATGATTAATTATTAATTATATATAGTAATGACGTCTATTTGTTGCTCTCCTAGCTGTCATGATATGTACATTAGACAATTGACATTCCAAGGTGAATTATTTTTTTTTCCAAAGGAAAGTCATTTTTAAAGGTTTTTCTTCATTGCTTTCTTAATGGAACCGACCAACTTGATATATTTTTTAAAGAATAATTAATTGTTTACTTAATTATTAATTGTAATACTAACGTCTATTTATTGCTCTCCTAGTTGTCATGGTATGTAACATGAACAATGGAAAATACTAGTCAACTCTAACTTTTTTTTTGAGTAATATTAGATAGACTTAAAAATTAAACTTGATAATCTCAATTATTGAATAGATAGTGGGTCCTAATAAATACTAGGACCTACAGTAAAATCAATGGTTCTAATTATCAAATCTAATTTTTAAGTCTGTTACTTTTAAGTTTGTGTAACATTGTTCTTTTTTTTTTTTTTATCAAAAACAAGTCATTTTTTAAAGGTTTTCCTTATAGTATTGCTTTATGGGACCACCCACTTGGTGTATTTTTCAAAAAATGCCTAGATATGTGTGTAATGTGGTTTGAATGCAAACGAAATTCATTGAAATGTCAAATTCAACTCATACACTTTAGATGGTGAAATTAATAGATTTTACATTCAACTGCAATTCAAAAGAAAAAACCAAATGCATGTGAAATTATTAGTTTTGGCATCTGATTTTTTTTTTTTTTTATATAACACGTGACCCAGAGATCATACTCGTAATGGAATGGTAACTGTATTCAACAAGTTAAAGAGTTGCGCATAAATTAGTCCGAATATCCTAACTATTGAACCTAAAAAAAAACAGCTCAAGTAGTTTAGAAAGTGGTATGATGATTAAACAGCCTGACTTTGCTATCGTATGTGAGAGTGAATGTCATTCGATAGTGCATCCCAAATCAATGAAAATTTATTGTCATTTCATACTAAATATACTAATAAATTAAGAAGAATTTTACTTTGTACGTCAAAAGATTTATGATATTTTATTTTATACTTTTAAAAATTAAATTTTTCATGTTGTATTCTCACTGTATTAAAACTATAGAAATGCAATCCTTAAAGTTAATTTTTATTTCTTATTCCGTCATAAATTATTCATTGATATTGACAAAATGAGTAAAAAAAACTAATAAAAATGTCACATTGCAACACTTATACATTGAAGGTGCAATGTAAAAAAACCTAATATTTAAAAATACAAAATGAAAATTCTTAAGTACAAAGTACAATTAGCTCAATAAATTATATCCAAAAAATTTTATTTTAAACATTGAGAATCATCTTCCTATGCAACAAAAGTGCTTGTGCCTAGTTAACTTCGACAATATATTTGGAGAATGTAAGAAGATTCCTAGAGATAATTCTTTTATTATTTATTTTTTTTGTGCTGGTCAATTCCTTTATACATCTGCCAATCTGCAACTTTTGTGCGGTTCATGTATTATTTTTGAAGGTTTTTCTCTAATGCTCCGTTTGGTAGGGAGGATGAAAAGTATGAAGGATGAAAAATAGGAGGGGCATTTTCTATCCTTCAAAGATGAAAAATAGAAAGAATACACTTTCCTTTCTTTGTGTTTGGTTGGATGAATGAAAAATAAAAATAACTATTTTTTTGTTTTTGGTGCTGATTAAAATTAGAGGTGAAAATAGAAGCGAGTCATGTCATGTCAAATTTGTGTTAAGTCATTACGAATTTGTATATAATATTAGTCAAACATAAGTTAACTCATTTAACTAATTGTATCGTGTCGAGTTGCAAGTTGACCTATTTATTTTCGTATTGAGTTCGAGTCGTGTCATCGTGTTGAATTGAAAGTTTTCACCCTTAGTTAAGATGAAAAAAATATTTTTTTTTAATTTAAAATTTTTTAATTTTTAATTTTTAATTTTTTTAAAAATTAATTTTTAAAATTTTTTAAAATATATATGTATATTTTACTATTATATTTTTATATAAAATTAATGTATACATAAGATATATAGACAAATAAGATGCATCTCAACACAAATAATTAACTTTTCATTCACTTTCCTTCCGATTTTGGTAAGTTGGAAAAAAAGTTAATTCATTCACTTTTTTATCCTTTCTACTTTCCTTCCTTACCAAACATGATATTTTATTTATCCCTTCAACTTTCCATCATTCTAACTTTTCATCCTCCCACTTTTTTATCGTACTAAACGGAGCATAAGACTCTAAGTCCTCTTGAACTTTTGTGCGGTTCATAAAAAAATTATTTTTGAAGGTTTTTCTTATCCAATTGCTTAATGGGACAATCCCATCCAGTGGAAGTATTTTTGAATAAGTAAATCTTGATATGTGTGTCAAACAATACCTATTTTAATATTTAATGCAAGGATTAAAATTTTGTTTCAGTATGTTGTGTTGGTCACCTAAAAAATAAAAACGTTTCGATCAGTTTTAAAAATATAATGAAAGATATAAAAAATTTAAGAATTATCTTTTTAAAACATTAGTCGAAATATATGTAAATATCTTAAAATATCTTGAAATATTTTAAAATAATTGTACAAATACATTAAAATTTTACAAAATATTTCAAAATATTATGAAATATCTCGAA